TAACAGGCCTCTATTACACTGAAGCCAAGAACTGACTGAACTATCTAGAGAATGATCATAAGAGATTCTGATAATCTGTTCTTAAGACCTATCTAGAGAACAAGTTAAGAGACTCTGTGAGCTGAACAGAGAATATCTGAGCTGCAATCATCAATATTAGAAAAAGAGGTGAGAAATCTGATGAAGACTACTCACAGTACTTCATGAAATTGTGATATGAATTAAGATCTGTGAAAACAGAGCTCTGAAACAAGACCTGAATAATAATGTTTGTGAAGAGACTGAATAAAGACATGCAGAATAAGCTCATTGAGTAAGACTCTAAGTTCTTGACTCTGAAGAAACTGATGACTCTCATTCATTGCTTATGAATCACTGTGAGAGTCACAGATCTGTGAAGAGCAGATTATTGACCAGTCCTGCAAGAGCCAGGATAACAGAGAACAGATTTATCAGAAAAAGATGACAAGATATAGAGAGATTCATGTCTGACTGCTGAGCAGAGAGAAAGAGCTTCACAAGCTTCTGTGAACAGAGTGTATAATAGAGAGACTAAGAAAAAGAGACTCTGCTTCATCTGTTCTAAATCAGAACATCTCTGTGTAAACTGTCTGAACAAACTAAAATAGGAATTTGAGAGATTATAGACAGAGTCAGCAACAGTCTTCTTAAGAGTCTTGAAGCTGACACCTGAATCTGTTGCTCTCTCAATGAAAATGCTTACTCACAGAGAGAGATTGCACCGCAGTGCTGCTGTTCTGCAAGCATGAAAAGCATTGATGAACTCAGGATCCCAGGTCACTGTGATGTCTCTAAAGCTTGCAGAGTGAATAGACTGAAAGATGAAGACTGAGAATCTGCTCTTGTAACAAGCAGAGCATGAGAACTCAGATCTGAGAGCTGAGAGACTTATAAGAGTTATCTTTGAATTACAAGATCTCTCTGAAATCTGAAGAAGATTTACAGAAACTGTGATTATCACAGACATCACAGATAATATATATTTAAAACTTACATGACTTCAAAGACACAATCTGCACATAGCTGTCTGTAAGTCAGGTTTATACTTCTGATCAGTGTTGACAGACTTACTTATGAAGATAGAAGCAGTTGATGCTGCAGAGTTGATTAGAGAAGACAAGCTCATCTATATAATAACTTTATAAGTGTCTGAGAATCTTGCAGTTATGAAAACTGAGCTTCAGATATCAGAGAAATACTGAGATCTTACAGAGGTGTTCAGCCCAGCTAAGGCAGCTGAGCTTTCTTCTCACTGTGAGAAGAATCTGATAATAGATTTAATAGAAGAGCAGAAACTCTTCTGAGAATTAATCTATAAGCTCTCTCATCATGAGACAGAGATCTTGTAAACCTATATAAAGAAGAATCTGAAGAATGACTTCATCTAATCTTCACAGGCCTTCACAGGAGCCTCTGTGATGTTTGTGAAGAAGAAGAATGAAGATCTCAGATTGTATGTAAACTACTGTGATCTGAACTTCAAGATAATAAAGAGTCACTACTCTCTGTCTCTGATTGAGAATGTGATTAACTATCTTGTGAGAGCTGTCATATTCACACAACTGAATGTGATCAATGTATATACATGACTGTGAATATAATCTGAAGATGAATGAAAGACTGTCTTTAGAACTGCACTGAGATTGTTTGAATATCTAGTAATGTCTTTTGATCTGACTAATATCTCTGTGATATTTCAGTCTTTTATTAATAAAACACTTCATGTATATCTGAATGTCTTTGTAATAATATATCTGAATAATGTGATAATGTACTTCATGAAGAAGGAAGAACACACTGAGCATGTGTGAAGTATGTTGAAGATCTTAGATGAGGCAGGACTGTATATTAAGCTCATGAAGTACAACTTCAGTGCTCACTGAATTAATTTCCTAGAATATATAATCACTGCAGATGATATTCAGATGAAATCTTCATAAGTTGAGACTATTCTATTATAATCAGAGTTAACTAGTATTCATGAGATTCAGATCTTTCTGAGCTTTGTGAATTTCTATAGATGATTTATCTTTACATTTATGAGAATCTTCTTGACTCTTACAGACATGCTGAAGAATGAAAACAAGAAGAAGTCATTCTGTGAATGAAGAATGAAAAGATTGTTGAGAAGGAAGAACTGTGAGAACTTTCTTATCTCAGAAGCTCACAGAGTCTTTGTAAGATTGAAATAGATATTCATAAATACAGTAATACTGTTTCACTTTGATTTCTTACTCTTAATCAGATTGAAGACAGATGTCTTCTTCTTTGCAATTTCAGAAATAGTCTTGCAACTACAGCTAAATGAGAACTGGGTTTCAGTGGCCTTTTTCTTGCAGAAGATGCAACCTGCAGAGATCAACTATAGTATTCATGATTAGAAGCTTCTCATGATAGTGAAATTCTTTCATCACTGATATCACTACTTCAAGAGCCTTGTAACAGTGATTACTGTTAGAACTGATCATGACAGCTTATAACAGTTTGCTTCAATCAAGAAACTCTCACAGCAGTAGGTTCACTGAGCTCAGAGACTGAGTGAGTTCTGATTCAAGATAGAACATATCAAGGAAACTAAGAACTCAGTGAACAGATTCTCTCACAGATCAGACTATGTTAAGAAGACCAGGGTGACAGACACAGAGAGACTAGAGAAGATAGAAAAGCTTTATAAGATGCTCAGACTAAGTGTTATGAAGAGATTGACTGAAGAGTCTCTCAATCTCTCATAAGAGAAGAAGAAAGAGAGAGAGAAGAAGTCTGTATAACTACTTTCTATGACACTGAGAGTCAACACTCTGAGAATCTCTGTGAGAATTCTTGAAGAGAGTATCTATAATCTGAAGAGTTTGTGAGCTTTGAGAAGTGCTGTGAAAGATCTGATGTAAGAGAAAACAGAGTATAAGTCTTCACAAGATCTTCTATTCAGATTGTCTGAACTGCAACTGAAGAATGAATATACTCAGCATATTCAGAAACTGCTCGCGGCAGGGATCAACTCTGCAGAAATAAAGAATTGAAGAGACTTAAATAGTCTCTTGTGAAGAGAGGGCTGGATTTATATGCCTGTGAATGAGTTTCTACATGTAGAACTCATCAAAAGATATTATAACTCTTCTCTAGTGAGTCATTTTGCAGACACTAGAACTTATGAGCTGCTTATAAGGAAATACTTCTGACTGAAGATGCAAGAACTTGTGAAGAAGATAGTGAATTCTTGTACTATTTGTCAGAGTTTGTGAATAGTGCAGTTCAGATCATATGAAGAACTTACTCCTCTACTCATTCTGCAGAAACCTTGGAAACAGCTAGAAATGAATGCTCTTGTGAGCCTCTCTGAAAGCAAGGACATATATGATGCCTGCTTTGACAGTGTACTGATGATAGTGAATCACTTCATCAAGATGACACACTTTATACCCATCTGCAAGAACTTGAAGTCAAAGAATTTAACTCACATCTTTGTCTGTGATGTGATCTGATTGTATGAATTGTCTGTGAACATTGTCTCAGACAGAGAATCAATCTTCACAGAAGAGTTCTGATCTGATCTGATAACTATACTAGAGATCTCATGAGATCTAAGCACAGCTTTTCATTAACAGACAGATGATCAGACAGAACACCTGATAAGTATATTAAAACAGTATCTGCAGTGCTTTGTCAATTACAATCAGAATGACTGAGTGCATTGATTGTCACTCACAGAGTTTGTGTACAACAACTTAAAGCATGTCAGCACAGGCAAAACCCTCTTTGAGATGCTCACTGAGACTCATTCACAGATGACCTTGATGAACCTGTGAGAGTACACTATAGAGTGTGATGATATCTGTGAATGAGCTGAGAGAATTCAGAAGATCTGAGAGAAAGCTCACAAATTCTTGAGAAAGACTCAAGAGTATCAGAAGAGATACTATGACTTCAAGCACATTGCAAAGAGTTTCAAGGAAGATAATAGAGTCTGACTGAGTCTAGAAAACATCATTATATGAAGATCTAGCAAGAAGCTGAATCTCTTGCAGACAGGGCCTTGTAAGATTATGAAGAAAGTTAGCTCACAGTTCTACAGATTGAAACTGTCACCTGAGTTGCAGATGTATAATGTTTTTCATGTCTCTTTGCTCTGTGAATATAAGAAATTCTCAGAAGAGAACTCTGTGACTCATCACTCTGTCTACAAAGCACTAGAGAGTGAAAGAGAATATCAGATTAAAGAGATTGTTGACTCAGAGAAGTGAGATCACAAGCTCTGATTCAAGGTTCAGTGACAAGAATATTCTGACAAGATGAATGAGTTTACTTGAGAATCATTCAGATAGATAAGATATCTGCAGAAGCTGAGACATGACTTTCATACTGTAAATTCTGACAAGTCAGAATGACACAGTCTTCACTAAGAACCTGATTGTGACAAAGACATTAACACTGTCATTTGTGAATTCTAGTCTATAAGATGATGAGTTTCTACTGGGATGAACAGTCTGCAGTGTACACAAGAGAAGAAGAAAACATATTCTTATTAAAGCTAAAAAACAAGAAAACAAACAGAACTGTAAATACAATTTAGAGATCAACAAAGAAAAAATAAAAGAAACTCACACTCACATCATTAACACTTATGACACTCAATTCTCTCACAACTATCAATTTCTCTCTTCAAAGAAGCAGAGAGTATTATATCTGTGATACAGACAATTGTTACATTTGACATGAAGGCTGCTAGAAATGCACAGACTTCAGGGAAGCTGAACATCAGAGTGTATACAGTTGCAGCAGAGCCTTGAAGACTGATCATCTGCATGTGTGATCAGATACTTCTCATGAAGCTGTATCTGCTCTCTCAGTTATACTGAAGTATTCAGCCTAGAAATAATGAGAATGTGAAGAGAGAGCTCATCTGTCCAGATTAACTTCTGTCATGAATTCATGACATTCACATTGCCTTGATTACCTGGATTTTGTGGGTATCCGAGGACTCATCTCCCATTAACAATGAGATTGCAGAAATGCGCCGCGGCGCGAGGACCATTGACAGGGAACCTAGGCATATTTACATATGCCTGGTCAGAGATTGTGCAGGCAGGAAGAAGGTGATCATAGATCTGCAGGGCTGTAGAAGACACTGACAACATCAGAAGCTTTGCAAGAACTGTCAGCTAGAATCTGTAAGGAATTACTTATGAGAAGACTTACAGTAAAGGAGAGAACTGTGCTGCTTAGAGTCAGGGGCTGGCCTGGGGGAGAGATGAGATGAGTCACTGGTCTGAAGATTGAGTGCAGTGATGAGGCTGAGGAAGATGAAGATGCAGTCATGAACAGCAGCATCCCTGCTTCATCAGCCAGCAAAAAGTGATCAGAGAAGTCATGAGAACACTCATGAGAAGCTTGACAGTGACCAGACATTGTTTGTGAAGATATTGAAATTGAAAAAATTTTTATTCTTGAGAAGTTCTTGAATCAATATGCAGACATTGTCAGAAACACTCTCTCTCTGTCATCTGAGTGAAAACACTTCACAGATGAATGAGAATACTCATAGTTTATGAGAATGAGAGCTGTTACAGAAAAAGGAAAAAGAAGATGAAATTCTGTAAATAGATCTGAGATATTTATACTACTCTAGAGAGATTTGCTTGCACTGTGAATGATTCTGTGGAACAGTCAGATCACTCTAGTAAACAAGAGTGATTATGAATTGCAGACCTGAATCTTTCTATGTGACTATAAAGAGTGATTGCAGACTGCAGACATCTTGATTCTACAATTCTACAGAGTTAATGAAAGAATGGAAAATTCCTCACAATTCTACAGTGTCAAAGAGCAATGATTTGTGAGAATGAATGAAAGATCAACTCATGAATGTTTCTCTTTAATAAGAGTGATCTCACAGAGAGTGATTCATCTGTGAGATGAATCTGTGTGATGATCACATAAGAATCTCATGAAAATGATTAAGAGTCAACTGAAACTCTTCTATATGAAAGGTGTGAGATGAATCTGCATAATAGTCAGAGAAGAATCTGTAGATCACAAAGAATCTCACAGAATAAAGAACTGAGTGACAGACTCTTTTCTCTTCATAATAACAAGGGATTTTTCCTTACTGAGGTTTTTTATAGATGTGAAGAGTTTTTAGTGAGTATCACTGCAGTGCTGAGCTGACTATGAAGTCACTCAGTGAAAGGCTTCATAGATGAAGCCTTAGAGAGGAAGAGGTATGTAAGAAATCCCGCTTCTCACAGATTCTTTACCTCTATTCCTATCTCTCATGTAATCAATAGGGCTAGCGGCCCTTGACTACACACAACTATATAGACTGGAGTTCATGAATACTATTCACAACTCAGCTTGAATGCTATTATACATTTGACTTCTTCATTTATCTTTCTACTGCAAACACTTCTAGTAGTTAACAGTACATATCACACCAAGCTGCAAACACCTGAATAATCGCCTGCGAGCACTTATTCTTACAAATGAGTCAACAGCACATTAACAACTATAAAATCAGTATATCTCAAGATCTGACTGAGCCTTTGATCCCTGCACAGTGAGATATATTAAATCTAGTTTTAATACCTCAATATTCAATAGATTCTGCAAGGGATTGGGAACAGCAACACTAGGTTTCTATTAAATTTGAGAATTAACTCTATATTGATATAATCATTGACAAAGTCTTCTATTTTGAGATATAAATAACCAGTTCCTCTACATTCTGCTGGCAATATTTATATTATTATATAGAAACAGACTTATATTCTCTATAATATCAAGACTCTGAAGAGGGAAAGTCTTGATAGAAGATATACAGTAGTGCATATCTTAGCAGTTTCTATCTCATTCTTCTGCAGCAGTTAATGCAAAAAAAAGATCTTAGAAATAGTTTTTTACTTCTCTTGAAAAAGTAAGGTGTTTTTCTCTGGGTTTTACACAATATTCTTACAAAGAATTAAAAACAGAGTTGTTTTCTGTCATAATTTCATATTCTTTTAAGTAAGAATTACTTTTTCAGTGACTGAAGAGCTTTCATTAATACTTAATTCTTTTTTACACTCTTTATTAACTGATTTGAGTTGCACACTTGTTGTGTGAGAAGAATTGAATGATTTAGAATAAAATTGAATAGTTTTAATCAATTTCTCTGCAAAAAATTGATTTATTTTTTGTCAGTTTTTCTCTTAAAAACTGTCATATCATCTGATTTATTATCAATTGATATCATACTTTTCCTCACTGTATCTCAAGAAAGAGATTGTAAAGATTTTATTGATTTATCTTAAAAATCAATTTTAGTTTATTAGATTCTCTTCAAAAATCTAACCTAGTTACTGAACTAGTGTGAAAAAAATCAGATGTTTTATACACAAAAGTCTTTTATTCTTCTTTTGAAACAGTCCGACCAACTTTTCAATTGAAAACAGACTTAGAAATATCTCAATTGAAACAGTCTGACCAACTTTTCATTGAGTGAAAACAATGAGTTCAAAAATACACTCAGTTGATGTGGAAAAAGATGTGTTCTCAAATGCTATTCCTGAGATTGAAATTCTGAAGAGAAGAAAGAAAGAAGAAATAGAGAAATAACAAGTTCTTGAAATACAGAAACTTGAAAAAGCAAGCAAGATTCTTGAAAAGCAGTGTCTGAGTGAGATGAATGAAGAAGTTCTATTAATTCTTCATACTCAGGCTAGATAACTACAGAAGATGATCAAGTTCAAACTTGAAATCTCAAACACAGTTCAAAAAACCTTGAAAAGTTCTAGTATAATCACTGACTCTTCATCTTGCTCTTCTTCTTTCTTTCTTCCTACTTCTTCTTCTTCTTTGAATCAGAAGAAAACATATGCTCAAGTAGCTGAATCTGCTGTCTCTAAACCTGCTGTCTCAAAACCTGCTCAAAATCCTGAGAAAACTGGGAAGAATACTGCTCATGCCTCTATTCATAGAAAAGTGAAAAAGAAAATGCAAAAAGAGAAAAACTTTCAAATCTTCAGAAATAGAAGACTTATTCTCAAAGTCTCAAACCAGGACATTCTGCAAAGAAACAAGCTAAACTCAAATCTCATTTTCAGAATCAGAAATGAAATTAATCAGCAGTTCTTTTCTCAGTTGATGACTGATATTGAAGTTCAAAAACCAGTTATAGCTTCAATTGAGTCATCATTCTTTGAAAACTTCATCATTCTAACTACAATGCCTGAATTCAGTGCTGAATTCCTTATTCAGAATAAGAATCTCTGAAAGTCAGCAGTAGAATCTTTGCTAAACACAATAATTCTATCTGAAAGAGATGAAAAGTGGGACAAATTCATTCTTCATGATATTTCAGTTGAAATTTTTGACTGTGAAGAAGGAATGCTACTTCTTAAAAATGAATTGAAAGAATACAACTTCATTCAACTGAGAAAGAAGTCTGTATGACTAAATTCAATTGAGTTCAGACAAAGCAGAAGAAATGCCTCTGTTCTAGTATATATAAAAACACTTGAACAGTCAAAGATCTCTGAAGTAAGAGTAGCAGATTTGAAAATGAGAGTTCATGAATACAAAGACTTGAGAATGAATCTCAAAGCTCAAATACAGTGTTCAAACTGTCAAAGATATGAACACTTTGCAATCTCATGTTTTAGAGACTCAAAATGTGCATTCTGTGCCAGAGATCATAAAACTAGTGAGCATAAATGTGAAACATGCTCAAAAAGAGGTGAAATTTGTCAATATACTCTGCTTAAGTGCTCTAATTGCAAAGAAAAACATGCATCTAGCTCAAAAGAATGTATGTTTGCTTCTAGAACTCAAAAGAACTGGAGAAAAGATGAAGCTCAAAGTCAATCTAGAACTGAAGAGAAGAGTCAAGCCAGTAAACTCACAACTGCAAGCTCAAAAAGAAGAAACTCTCAATTATCTAAGTCTTCAAACTTCAATTCTCCAGTGAAATGTAAACAGAATTTGAATCCTCAAACTTCTGTTAAGATTAGAGAATTGAGAAATGACTCTGATGATAAACTAGATATAATGCAAGCAGTTGAGATTCCTACTTTTCAGAACAGTTATAATCTACTATCTGATGATAGTGATTAGATTCTTCTCTACTCTCTTTTAGTATGAATATACAACAAAAACAACAAAAAAAGTTTAAAAACTCTTCAAAAATCACATTTATTCAAAATAATGTGAATAGAAACTCAAATTGCATTTATTCTTGTCTTCAAATTGCATTTGAATAAAAAGTTGATTTTATACTGCTTCAGGAGCCGAATTTTGATGCTGAGCAAAAATATGTCATTTCTCATTCAAGCTACTACTGCTTTTTATCTCAAAAGTCTGAGATAAAGTCAAGAGTAGTGATCTATGGAAGAAAGAGATCAAGATATCAATTTAATCTAAGATTTGATATCATGTCTGACCCTGATATTCTGGTGAGTGATATTATAGATAAAGAAAATGAGTTTAATACTATACAGCTCATAAATATCTATAATGAAAAGTCATTGAAGAAAAATAACAATATCTGGACAATTGATAGAGGATTTCTGAACATAACTTCATCAAGAAACTCTATAATTGCAGGAGATTTCAATGCACATCATCCCTGATGGAATTCAGAATGCAAGAGAGCAGTGAGAGCTGATAATCTGATTGAATGAACCTTTGAGCATTCAATAGATTTGGTTAATAAGTCTGATCAACAAACATTCTTTAGAAAAGGCATGAAACAGAAGTCTATTATAGATCTAACATTCATGTCACAAAATCTAATGAAAAGAAGACTTGTAAACTGATTTATTGATTCAAATGAGACATCAGGATCAGATCATGAGATTATTCAATTTGATATTGAACTGAGTGAAAAACAAATGAGTGAAAATTCTCTTCTCTCTAATCAGTATAACTTTGAAAAAGCTGATTGAAAAGCAGTTGAAGAAAGTATAAAACTGTTAAAATCTGAAAGACAGAATGAGCTATATTGAAATTCTGGTCAAGATATCTCAAATGAAATGCTTGAGAATAGAGTGAAGCTTATTACATCTATTATTCTAACAAGTGTTAGAGATAATATTTCAAAAAGAAAATCTTCTGAGTATTCAAAACCTTGGTGAAATGAGAATATCTCATCTAAAAGAAAAGAATTAGCTACTGCTAGAAGAGATTGAAAGAATGATGTAATATCTGATGAAGAGTTCAAAGCTGTCAGAAATGAGTATTTTTCAGATATTAAAAGAGCTAAAACAGACTGCTGGAATAAATTTCTTGAAGAAGCACAAGAGAAGGAAGTTTTTAAAGCTTTTAACTATACTAAAACAAGAAGTGTAGCAAAACTTTCAGCTCTAGAATATGAGTTTTAGAATGAATCATATACAGCAAACTCTTTTGAGGAAAAATGTCAAGCTTTCATGATA